AGAAGGCCGTGTATTTAATACCGTCAATACGAGACGCGTGTGCGTCGACCAACATAAAAGCTAATAAATAGAGAGATCGAGGGATATGATAGAATACGAGTCAGTTCGATGGAAACAACAACGTCGATATTATCGCCGTCGAGGCCAGAATCCCGTTAACGTTGTCGCGAGATTTGTTATTCAATCTCATCTTTCTTAAAAACTACGCGAACAACTCTATTTATGTTTATGCGTTTCTTTTTCATTCTCCTTCTTTTTTTTTTTTTTCTTTTTTTTTTCTTAATAAAATTTCTACTAGTTTACCGAAGTGTTTCTTTGATCTTCGCCTCCGAGAGATTGAAGGGAACTCCTCCAATCTCTTCGCGCAAATAGATACACCTTCAGAGAATAATTAATTTCGCAGCCGGTAAACGTTCCACCCCTTTGCAGTCGTTAATGAGATGCTACGAAACTTTTCCTTTTTTCCCTCTTTATCTCTCTTTCTCTCTCTCTCTCTCTCCCTCTCTCTTTTTCTCTCTTCCCGTCCCCCGTCCGTTTAACTTGGCGCACAACTACCCTTAAGCGGCACGTGGAGCGTCGTATTCTCGATCCTCCGGCGATAAATATTCGAATTAGGTGTTCTCTCTCTACCTAAAGACACTTTTCAGAAAATAGCCCGCCTTGTTGTAACATTGACCCATATTCGAAGGCGGAGGAAAAATTGTTTCGCCCCTCTTCCAATTTCTTCCACTTCTCTTGAATATATTCTTCTTCGATCACGAGCACGATCACGTTGCAACAAACGGGATGAAAACAAATGAAATTGACGATGGTTGCACGATTAACCGATAATATGTCAACATCGCGTTCGTTAGCGCAATTTATCGCCAGCATATTCTAATTCGCGATACTAATTGTTCTGTACACAAACGTACGTACGCAACGCGTAGATGTGCAAAGGATAGGTGTGACGAGGGAGAGCGCGATGCCCACGTCGGTGTACAGGAATCCACGGGTTGGCTTAAATGAAACGCTGCCCTTTCTCT